CGTAGTAGTCGTAGTCGTAGTCGTAGTCGTAGTCGTAGTAGTAGTAGTAGTAGTAGTAGTAGTAGTAGTAGTAGCAGTAGTAGTAGTAGTAGTAGTAGTAGTAGTAGTCGTCGTAGTCGTAGTCGTAGTCGTAGTCGTTGTCGTAGTAGAGTAGGAGTAGTAGGTTAGGAGTGTAGTAGCAGTAGCAGCAGCAGCAGCGTAGCCATAGTAGTAGTAATCGTGTCGTAGTCGTAGTCCGTAGTCGTAGTCGTAGTAGTAAGTTGTCGTCGTCGCCGTCGTAAGTAGTAGTAGTCGTCGTCGTCGTCCCACCGTCGTTGTCGTCGTCGTCGCGGGTCCGTAGTATTAGTAGTTAAGTTAGTAGTAGTAGATCTTAGTAGTATAGTAGTAGTAGTAGTAAAGTAGTCGTAGTAGTCGTCGTCGTCGTAGTAGTACGTAGTCGTAGTAGTCGTAGTCGTAGTAGTTGTATAGTGTATATTCGCAGTAGTATAGTAGTGAGGATTAGTAACTCTACTACTACGCATCCGTAGTAGTATGTAGTAGTATTACGTGTAGTCGTAGTAGTAGTAGTAGTATATATGTAGTAGTAGTGAGTATATGTAGTAGCAGTAGTAGTAGTAGTAGTAATAGTAGTAGTAGTAGCGGTAATAGTAGTAGTAGTAGTAGTAGTAGTAGTAGTAGTAGTAGTAGTAGTAGCAGTAGTAGTAGTAGTAGTAGTAGTAGTAATACTAGTAGTAGTAATAGTAGCACCAGTAGTGGTAGTAGCAGCAGTAGTAGTAGTAGTAGTCGTCGCATTGTATTGCTATTGTCAGTGCTACTCTACCATTAATAGTATTGGTATTGCATTTCGCATACTCCTTTTTGCCTTATGATTCGTATTACTACTAATCTTATTAGAGTTATTATTAGTATTCTAGGTGTGTCTTGCTCTGCTTCGTGCTATTCACTATGCCTGTTCTTCTTATTCGCCTTCTTCTTCTATTTCCACCCCTTGTTCCTTCCTCTTCCTCTTCGCCCAGTCCGCTGCTGCCTCGTCAGAGTTCCGTGCCCGCGCAGGGCGTGGAGTATTTCCGCTGCCCTCCCGGCAAGGGCCTCTTCGTGCAGGCCCGCGGGCGGGGTCGGAGCGGCGTGGTCGGGCTTGCGTTGTTCATCCATCCAGCCTGCCCCCTTCTGCTCCAGCTGCTGATGCTGCTGCTCCTCGTCGTCGTCCTCTCCCATTCCTCTTCCTTCTCCTTGAGAACAGCTCCTCCCTGTCGCATCCCGAGGCTGGTCGGAAAGGGCGGGCTGCGCGTTTCGCCTAAGACTTCCTTGCTGAGCCTGAAGCTCAGAAGTTGGCAACAGTTTCACAGATGGAGGCTCGGTCGCTTCCAAGATGTGGCTCTCGCCTTAGCGCCGCGCACACTCGATTCAAATATTCCCAGGTGCTTCACGGACTGGGGGCGGTTCCTTTTCAAATTGTGGCTCTCGCCTTAGCGCCGCGCGCATGAGTCTTATAGAGAGAGTTCGTATAGCAATTCATGTTGAAAACGAAAGAACGCCGCACAAAAAACAAACACACAACAACAATCAAGAACGCGCGCAACAGATAGCGCAACAACATGTGAAACAAACATGCTGATTCACATTTCCCGGTTGCAAGCAGATTCCGCGCCGGCAATTTCTGCAACACAAACGTGTTCCCCGACCCGACGACGCACAACTGGGCATAGCTTTCTGTTGCACACTTTTGTTTGCATGCGTTCGTGTTTTTTTGTTCAGTTTTTGGAGTGCGGATTTTGTTTCAGGGGATCCTTGTCGTGGGTCTTAAGGCTTTGCACGAGCTTCACGGATTGAGGGCGAGTTGTTTTCAAAATCTGGCTCGCGCTTTGGCGTCGCGCACGTTGGTCTTAAACATTTGCAAGGGCTTCTCGGATTGAGGGCGGATAGTTTCCAAATTGTGGTTCTCTGCTCCGCGCACATTCGTCTTCAAACACTTGCAGGAGCTTCACGGATTGAGGGCGTCTCCTTTTCAAAATGTGGTTCTCGCCATAGCGCCGCGCTCATTCGTCGAACAAAAAGCACGAGCGAGTTTCGCTGGCAATCACGGGTGATTATCCAGGCGTGGCGTTTTCGAACGATTCAGGATTGTTAGGGCGCAACAGTTACATCGATTCGTTGTGTTGAAGTCCCAGGAGCGGTGTTCTGGCACGATTCAGGATCGCCAAGGCGCAACGTTGACGTCCTGAGAACGGTGTTTTGGCACGCTTCCGGATTGTCAGACGGTTGTCTCCCAACGGAGCTCTCCCCTCAGAGGAAGTGAATCCTTGTATGGAGCATGTGAAGAGGGAGCTTGGAGGGAGGGTGTATCCCAACATCGTTGATGAGTCTTGGGTTGACATTGGTCCTCCTCCTCTTCGTCCTCCTCCTTCCTTCCCCGCCTCCCTTCCTCTCCTTGTTGTTATCCTCCTCGCCCTCGTCTTTCTTCTTCGTCGCCGTCATCCCCATCTCCCTCTCCTCCCCCCCGCTGGTGATGGGCCCTCGTTGTCCTGACCATCCTGTGGTGTCGGCCCTCACTGTGAAGAGACATCGCCCCGCGTCCACTCACTCCTCACTCACTCCTCCTCCCCCTCCCCCTCCCTCCCACATTCACCTCTGCTCCCCGCATGCCCACCATGTCGGCACATCACCCACACGCCTCGTGGCCCCGATAGGGCCGATAGGGAGCTCAACAACATGGCCCCAGCGGCAGGGTCCGCACGCGCTCCGCCCGCCAATTTCGGCACACCCCTCACGAGGATCGCGGCCCCACAGAGGGCCCCACCGAAGGCCCCAGCGGCAGGGTCCGCATGCGCCCCCCCCGCCCAATTTCGGCACATTCCTCACGAGGATCGCGGCCCCACAGAGGGCCCCACCGAAGGTCCCAGTGGCAGGGTCCGCATGCGGCCCCCCTTCAATTTCGGCACACCACTCACGAGGATCGTGGCCCCACAGGGAGCTCCACCGAAGGCCCCAGCGGCTGCATGCGCCCCATATGGAGCTCCGCCGAATGCACCAGTGGCAGGGTCCGCATGCGGCTCCCCGCCCACTTGCACACCCTTTACGAGGATCGTGGCCCCATTGGAAGCTCCATCGAAGGCCATAGTGGCAGGGTCCGCATGCGTCCCCCCGCTAATGTCGGCACACTCCTCACGAGGATCGTGGTCCCATAGGGTGCTCCATCGAAGGCCCCAGTGGCATGGCCCGCATGCGCCCCCGCGCCCACCTCGGCACACCACTCACGAGGGTCGTGGCCCTACGGGGAGCCCCACTGAAAGCGGTACCCACAACGCGGCATTCACGATTGCATGCGGCTTGATCCCTCACTCACTCCTCCCCCCACCTCCCTCCTCCCTCCTCCCATCCCTGCTTGTGCCCTCCGCGTGCCCGTGTCGGCACACCTCTCACGCGCTCCGCGGCCCTGCAGGCAGCTCCAGCGAGGGCTCCTGTGGCAGGGTCCGGATGCGTCCCCGGGCCCATTTCGGCACACCCCTCCCACGCTTCGTGGCCCCACAGGGAGCTCCAGCGAGGGCTCTTGTGGCAGGGTTCGCATGCGTCCCCCCGCCCATTTCGGCACACCCCTCCCACCCATAGGGAGCTCCACCGGAGGCTTCTGTGGCAGGGTCCACATGCGCCCCCCAGCCCGTTTCGGCGCACTCCCTCTCGCGCTTCGTGGCCACATGGGGAGCTCCAGCGATGGCGTTTGTGGCAGGGTCCACGACCCATTCACCAGGATCCGCTTTTCATCCTGACCGTTCTCGTTCCAATCATCCTGTTGTGTTAGGTCCTCGTTTAGAAGAGACAGCGCCCCGCGTCTCCCTCCTCCTCCCGCTCGCCATCCTCCTTCCTCCCATCCCTGCCTCTGCACTCTGCACGTTTGTGTTTCAGCACACCCCTCACACGTTTCGTGGCGTAATACGGGCTTCGTGGCTCCATAATGAACTCCACCGAAGGTCTCGGCGGCGCAGCCCGCATGCGTACGCGCCATCCATTTCGGCACACCCTTTATGTGTTTCGTGGCTCCATAGGGAGCTCCACCGAAGATCCCAGTGGCGCAGCCTGCATGCGTCCGCGCCGCCCATTTCGGCACACCCCTCGCACATTTCGTGGCCCCATGGGGAGCTCCACCGACGGTTTCAGCGGCGCAGCCCGCATGCGTACGCGCCACCTATTTCGGCACCCCCCTCACACAGTTCGTGGCCCCGTAGGAAGCTCCACCGAAGGTTTCGGCGGCGCAGCCCGCATGCGTCCGCGCCATAAATTTTGGCACACCCCTCACACGTTTCGTGGCCCCGTAGAGAGCTCCACCAAAGGTTTCAGCGGCGCAGCCCGCATGCGTCCGCGCCAGAATTTTCGGCACACCCCTTACACGTTTGGTGGCCCCACAAGGAGTTCCACCGAAGGTCCCAGTGGCGCAGCCCGCATGCGTCCGCGCCATCTATTTCGGCACATTCCTCACACGCTTCGTGGCTCCATGGGGAGCCCCCTCGCACGATTCGTGGTCCAACAAGGAGCGCCAAGGAAGTCGATAGTCATAGCTGCGGCACCCACAACTGCAAATGGTTGAGTCCTTCGTCAGTCTAACTGTTTGTCCCAGGGCCCCGCGAGGGCCCCCGTGGAGGACGAAAACGGCTAACAACCTCCCACTGTGATTCTCTTATGACCCAGACGGGTGGGTTCGGCACCACCCAAACATGTTTTTACTATATGCGCGTCGGCCTCGCAAGGGCGACGCGCACGCGCGGAAATCTTCCTGCATTCGATCTGTGGCTGGCGTTTC